AATCCTCAAAGATTAAAATGTAATGTCAGTAATTGCCTTGTGTTCCCTTGACTCCATTCTTTTATTGTCCTCTCAAATGATTTCACACTCAATGACCCTATTGCGTCTTAATTCGTTTCATTGCTATTTTTGAGTCGAAATAATTCAAAAAATATCGCAATCCTCTTTTACACGATTTCCTTTCAGTGGTAGGTGATCTCCACAAATTCCTATCCTTTGAATCTCAAAGCAAAGTTTGACATTTTTAACAGCCCTCGTAGTCCTCACTTCGCTAACAAAAATATGTTCAGTACGCTGCTTCCTATTTTCTCAATAATTTTCAGTATGAACCATGAGGATTACATTTTCTAAGCTCTCTTTCCACATGTGTCCGATGTCTGTTATGTTCTAATCTCTCTTTGTCATGTGTACATTGTATGTTTCTTTTTTTAAAGCTCGCTTTGTCATGTGTCCATTGACGATTACATTTTCTAAGCTATATTTTCTCATGTGTCTATTGACGGTTGCGTTTTTCTCTTTCTCAAGTGTTTTCTATGAGTGTTACATTTTCTAAGGTCTGCTTCTGATGTGTCCATGTCCATCTGTCCTCATGTGTCTGTTGATGGTTACTTTTTCTAAGCTTTCTCAGTTATCAGTTATCTCCTGTTAATTCCCCTCTCCAAGTTCTCCACTGTCTTAACAGACATTGAAGTCACACTCTTTGGGTCCTCTCACTGGATCTAACTAACGCCTTTATCCACTGTGCCATGTTTTCTTGAGGACATCTGTGTATGAATTTCTGGGTACTATAAACCTAATGTCTTCGGCAACTATTTTTTTTTACCAGTGGTCATATTGCAATTTTTGCTGTTATAACATCATCTTTTTACCAGAGCTCATATTGCAATTTTTGTTGTTATTATCGCTTTTCTCTGACACACCTTATTACTGGTTCCCCTATTGTATTCATTTCTATGCTTGGTCGGCTCAGGAGATTTTTGAGGCCTAGCATATGTGCTGATTCCTTAAGTTTACGAATTTTCCAATAGTGTTCTTTGCCTATGATCTCAACCTGATCCCACAGAGGGCGGTGATCTCCCTTTTCCCTCCATATGTTGTCAACCACGCTTGATTTTTCCACTTCCCCTCGTGTTAGAGCTTTCTGGTGTTCTTGAAGCCTTACCTTAAGGGGGCGGCCTGTCTCCCCTTTATATTTCTTTCCGCAGCTGCACGGGATAGCGTACACACAGTCTGTAGTCATATTCTCCTCGGGAGAGATATCAGTGAAGCGAAATAAGGGGTTTAGTTCGACATTCCAACCACCTGAAGAAGGCCGCACCGTACAACGGCCGAAACGTTGTAATAAATATGGCGACAAAGATGAGGACAATAGTCCGAATAATGTAAATAGTGTACATAGTACCTCATCTCAGAAATATAGACAGATACTGAAAGGCCGAAACGTTGTAATGAATATGGTGACAAAGATGAGGACAATAGTCTGAATAATGTAAATAGTGTACATAATACCTCATCTCAGAAATATAGACAGAGGAATTTCTCATTATATTTGATTAGTGTAAACATACAATGCGATCCTCCATCAAGCTTTCTTCTGACCAGCCAATGATTAACCACCACGTTTCATTTCGAAACTTGACGGTGAACAGCGAATGCTGGGAGAGTGCCTGCTGGATGCTAACAAGGTAACACGGTGAAAGACACGCGCCACAATAGCACGAAGTGTGTTTCCCATATTATATGTAGTCGTTTTATTCATGGTTTTGCCCTTCGGTTGCTAAGCGATACTTGGAAAAACTTTTGTTATGTCAGCTCTTCCCTCTAAAAACTCCACGCCCATCTACAAATCTCGAGAGGTGGCTGGTCGAACGACAGCATAGGAGCCATGCCATAATGGCGGAACAGAACTCCCCCGATCCGAAACATGACTTTTAATAGAGATCAGCACCCTGATATACTCTATTTCCGTTTTCTTGCCACTTGACCCCCAAAACTTCACTATCCACCCTTTTACTTTCTATCCCTTTTCGGTCAAAGGATGCCGTTTATAAAACTAGACTTCAGAAGGGACCATCAGCTGACTATTAAACAGAGTCACTTGAGATATTTAATATTTAATAACGTGGTTGTCTGTTATATAAGAAAATGACATTGTAAACATGTACATGCTTGATTTATGACATGCAACTGATGAACAAGCCAATACGTGCTCCCCACCGCCTTAAAACTTTCCTTTCCATGGCAATTATCCCGATACGAATATGCTAATGAATTTTCTAAAATCCAAAACTTTGTAATGGAAAATTCAATGACGTATTCGATGTTATATTTCTCATAGTTTAATGGTCTACCGGTAAGATCCTTCAGATTAGATGTTCGATTTGATTTTTTAAATTATCATTAAAATACAACAAAATGACCACTTAAGTAAATGCCTATAACGTTAAAACAATGAAATCACCCAATAAAATCACCCTGTGTTCGATAATTTTAGATCCAAAGTTCCATTTCTTAACGAACAATAAATTGATTTTGAGCATTGATTTGATGTCGCTAATGTATCGTAAAATTGACTCATAGGAATGAAAAGTATGTAACTACATTTATCTTCCCACCTGGAAAAAATAATTCTGTAATTCGACATTCAAGATTTGGTGTTTTACGACAACACAAAATGTGAACACCTGTGGGAAATAAGCCACTGTCTTAGGCATTAGGCAGACTCAGATTTTATTAAGGTGGAACAAAGCAAAAGAAGACCTATGTTAATCATAAAAGTCTGAAGGGATTTTCTTAAATATCACCATTCAAAATCATTTTATTTGGGGACGAATACAGTAGAATATCAAGTAAAAATGTCTTTGTAGAAAGAACATTGCGCCATATTACTCTTCCGTGTTGATAGAACCTATCGCCTACGTCTAAAATCCTCATTCAAAATAGTTGGTATTTACATGGACTCGAATACCAAATTCAGACAATACACATTTGACTACACAATGCCTTTGGTTTGATTATTATTTGCTTTGTTTTAACGAGTTTTCCTTATCCGCTTTCAGATTATATTTTACGTAGACTTTAATGGCAATTGTAATATTGAAGAGAAATCTGTCGTATTTTATTTCATTGGCAATATTATTTACTTACAGTTTATGTGCAAAACTATGCTTACAGAAATCCGGGCAATTTGAAATGATTGTCTTCGTATTTGATCCATAATTACGAACTTTCTTTAAGAGGTCATCGGACACAATTGTTTCTACACAATAAATTTGTTAGAAAAATAAACACTCATAGAATGCTGTAAGTACAAACGATTGATCATAGGCAAAAAATGACGTTAAATAACTGTTGTAGAGTAGTTTTAACAGTGGAGGCTTGTATTTCACTAAAAGGGTTCGACGAAACAAAACGTTAGGAACTTGAAATAATAGTTAATGACGCAGCAATCTAGTTGTGGTGGTTGATACTTTAATGTCCGACATCGACTGACACACCAACTCCACTCAGCCCCCTGGCGACTGCCACTACTACTACTTATTATCTGTGGGAGAGTCTATTAACAATAGAATAGGTATGTTCCGGTATAACAATAACGAATAGGACATGTGTCAATTCATCCAAACTTCACGCCAAATTTGTGGAGTAGAACACGTTTATATCACTAAAGACGTAGATGATCAGGACTCTCCACAACTTCCTAAGGAATTTTTTGGATGTAAAATAATATGAGCACTAAACAAGAAATAATGAGAGAAAGAAGAAAAGCTATTCAGACAACGTATTTCGCTTCTTTGACTGGAATGTCCAGAGGAAAAATCAAAAAGTCCATGGATAATAATAATAATAATAATATTAAAAACCGTGACAAAATTGGGCACAAAATTCTTCGCATTATCTTTATAAAAGCCACTTCCGAAAATAAATTATCCAACTTTAATATAAAATTTCTATAATTATAAAATATACAGATAGTACTGAACAGAAGAGGCGGGGATATACAAAATAAACTGCACAAAATGTCCAATGACATACATCAACAAAACATCCAGTTATTAAAAGAAAGGAGTACTGAACTGCTACGTGACATCTGTCCTCCTTTACGGCAGCGAATGCTGGACGGTCTCCTCAAAGATGAAAAAGAGCCTCGAGGCGTCGGAGATGTGGTTCCACAGAAGGATGCTAAGGATATCATGGACCGAGCGTGTGAGCAACGATGAGATCTTAGAGAGGTTGTAAACAAAGAGAAGGCTTATACTTAACATCAGAAAGAGGCAGCTGAAATTTCTAAGACACGTAATGAGAAAAGAGGTCTTGGAGAATCTGATACTCACAGGTCGTATAGAGTGATAGAGACAAGGGAAAGCAACGCATGACATACCTGGGGGGTTTAAGCAAGTGGATGACGGAGCAGGGTAATAGCAAAGGGACAAAACTTATTGAGAGCTACAAGGGATAGGAGTAGTGGAGAGCCATGATCGTTTACGTTCTGAAGGGACACAACACATAAAAAGAAAAAAAAGACTTGTGCATCGCAGTGACCTAACGCTTTATACGTACTTGGCGCTCGCCTTAACACTTTATGATTTAATTACAACAGAAAACAATTCATTAAGAAGAAAATGTATTGAAAGTACACTGATCTCGGAATTCTCTACGGCCAACCTCAGACTGACCTCATACACAATATCTATCGATCATCGCAAAAGCACAGTGCAGTAAACTTTGGTTGACTGATTGTTTCGTTTTCTACGGCTCATCAAATTCCAATGTGTCATTTAAAGTTTGAAAATATTTTTTAGATACTAAAAGAAATTTGGGTGATGATAATGTTTTAGTGATACAAAACTTATTAATTAACCCATAGCTGGTAAGAAGAAGGGGGGGATTCATACCCTTTCTAATTGTAAGGGAATATAACGAACCCAAAGGGAATTGGAACTCGACCCTCTTATCAACAATTCCGAACCATTATCCATTACACTAGCCACACATCCAAGCTTACAACACCTGGTATTTCCAAGAGGTCACCCATCTAGGTACTGACCAGGTTCGACGTTGTTTAACTTTGGTGATCGTACGGGAACTGGTTTTGCAATGTGATGTGGCCATAAGCCTACGGAGTGGTATACGACCTCATAGAGAAACAGACAGAGATCTACTTGGGTTGGGCTAATTTCAAATCCAGCAAACGTTAACCACTAGGACACGAAGAAAGAAACTTTCCAGTCGTAGCATCTGATAAGGATATGTGTTACCTTTTCCATACTTTTCAATATACTTTCGTCATGAACAGGTAGGTTTCTCATTTCGACCTGAAGACGTCTACCATAGTAGGTGAAACGTGTTGTCTGAATAAATTTTCCATTTTGTCACATTATCTCAGCTATCTCATATATATACACTGATGGTAGAATTTCAAAAACTCCTAGTTAATGTAGCAAAGGAAATTAAGAAAAGAGGAAGAATTATCAGTAATAAGAAGATACAATCTATGGTCGGCAGCAAGCGAGACTGTTCAAGATACGAGCTATGAATTGGAGACCTAAGAATACCGCAAGCACATAAATGCAACTGTCTAGGAAGTTTAATAAAAGATGTGATGAAAAATGGGATATTGAAAGGGTATAAATTGCCCTCCAAATTCGAAATAGAATATTAAGAGGCAGGAATACTTCGTTTAATTTCTTTTGGGTTTTTTTCTTTACAGTAAGGTTCACCCTGTACAAGAACCCCGTGCCTCTCGAAGTAGAGGCAATGAGTGCGGATAGGAGATGAAGATAACGGTTGACTTGACCAGGTTAAGATTGTATTGATCGGGGAAACATCCTCTCGACAGTTAGTTCCATAGAACAGTGGTTCACGGGAAGAAACAGTTCGAGTAGACTCTTCCCGATGGAACAGAGAGGGCACGTGGATTGTTTGCTACAATGCGAGTGGCATAGCGGGTCCCTAGCCGTGAAGGTTAGACCTGAGGGAAGCAAGGAATGTAGTTCGTCTGTGCATTTATCATGGAAGTAGCGATAGAGAAGTGAGAGGCTTTCAACATACCGACTGTGTTTTTGACACGCGGAGACGCATTTGGACCCTATCGGGACTGGATAGGTAAGTACTCGTCCAAATATGATAACTGTACTCCATTTTAGACCTGATCCAGCTATTGTAAGGTAGAAGATTGCAAAGAAACAGTGCTGTGTTACTATATCATGTCAATATATGGCAGTGAATGCTGGACATTTTCCTCATAGATACAGAGAACACTTGAGACAAGAGAAATGTGGGTCTAGAGAAGGATGCCGAGAATACCATAGACGTAGCATGTGAAACTAAAAGCCAGAACAGGTACTGGAAAGATTAGAAAAAGGGCAAATATTGCATATACCTAAAAAAAAGCTAGGAAGTTATAGCGTATCATGATGATTGCCCACATCCTGAAGAGGCAGGTCGTATAAAAGAAGACCTGTGGACACATCCATTTTAAGAAAAACAAAGGCTAGAATTGTTTTATTCGAAAGTGGGAACAAAGTTTAATAGAGACTGACTAGAGATTCCACAGTGATTATTCTACAGATGGTCATTCGCGTTGTCTTTTTCATCTGCTCGGTACAAAGAAAACATGACTGCTTGGTATTAAAATATACCTAATATTAGGGGCAAAAACTCATAAAAATGGCAATTTACTTTAGAAAATGTAGAGAAGAAAACTGAGAAGAAATGAATACAGAAAATAGGACGTATAATTGTCAGAAAAATGGAGCGACCTAAAATACAATAACGAATAAGATTAGCAAAGTATTAAGTAATATATATATATATATATATATATATATATATATATATATATATATTAAAATCTGGAGGTCAGTTTAATCCGCTACTTTAGTTTCAATCTTACAGTATCCTCAGACGATTTTTATCAAATTAAAAAAAATATGATAAAAAATTTGATCAAAATTATTTTGATAAAATATCTGTTTTTTTTTTTAATGGTGGGGGGGTGTTTTTTAATAAAAAAATCGTTTGAGCATACTGCCAGTTTAGAACCAAGAAAGCGGATGCAACTGACCTCTCTCTCGTTGACCACAACTTGGCGACGAGAATATCAAATTCACACGGGAAGAACAAAAAAGACAAAATCCTCCCTTGTCAACTTGGCGACGAAGAAATTCGAACTCACACAGGAAGTGAACAAAGAAAAATTCTCCCTTGCCGACCACAATTTGGTGGCGAGGAATTGGGACCTACACGGAAAGAAAAAAATTTCGCTCTTCTCACCACAACAGCTTGGACGACAAGAATTTGCATTTCTCGGAGACTCAAAAGAGAAAATTGCCGTTTTTGCCAGTATCAACAACAACTGGGTAACAATAATAGTAATATTCATTCTTGGCGTTTGTTATTTATTGGTACCGGATTTCATCCCGGAATCCACAACAGTATCATATATATATATATATATATATATATATATATATATATATCAAAGTATATAAGAAACAGGGAAATTTTGTTAGAAACCAAAAGAGTGCCCAACATTTATGTAACATCAGTCTTTTTATCTTGCAGTCAATGTTGGACAAATTCCTTACATATGATGATAATGCCATTGACAGTGCACGAAAGCAGTGAGTGAGCCTTAAGGAAATTGAAAAGAAAAAGATGGACAAAAACGGACAGTTGAAATTTCTAGGATGGATAATTTGAAAACAGGTTAAGGAAAATTTAACACAGGATATATCGATAGCAAGCGGGACAGAGAAAAACAGCAAGTAACCTACCTTAAAAGCATGGGTATATGGATGCCTGAGCATGGGTTGAGAGAGTCGGTGAAAATAATAAACTTACGAAGAGCTACAAAGGATAAGAAGTCGTGGAGAGCCATGATAGCCCACGTTCTGAATGGACATTAAACAAAGAGTTGAGTGTTCAGAAAAAATTATCATACTTATTGCAACAAAGATGAAGAGTTTTACAAGATTTACAAATCCTTCAATAATAATTTTAATTTCTTTAAGGAACCATTGTTATCAGGAATTCACGCAAAAAAAAAGTTAAAAAGAACTCATATTTTCTCTTCAAATTCTCCATTGGTGACAAACGTATTCATAGTGATGTCAAAGAACACTAGTTGTCACTTTTGGAATGGCAACAAATAATCGTTAACACTTTCGTAAATGCTTGGTGTAGTAGAGATTTTATAATACTTTTATCCTAACGCCGTTAAACAATACTGGTGTCAGACATCTTCGAATAATCTCGCACTAATTGTACTTATTCGACGATACTCAATCGAAGAGTAATCTGTATGGTGATCCGAATGGAGAAAGAGTATAGTGAATAGAATAGAGAAAAGCAGTCCGTATAGCAATAGAGGATAAAGTAGAAATAGTGATCCGTATAGCAATAGATGATAGAGAAGAAATAGCGATCAGTATAGTAATAGAGTAGTAATAGCGATCCGAATAGCAACAGAGGATAGAGTAGAAATAGCGATCCGTATGGCAATAGACGATAGAGTAGAAATAGCGATCCGTATAGCAACAGAGGATAGAATAGAAATAGTGATCCGGATACCAACAGAGGATGGAGTAGAAATAGCGATCCGTATAGCAATAGAGGATAGAGTAGGAAGAGCGATGCGTATAGCAACAAAGGATATAGTAGAAATAGCAATCCGTATAGAAATAGAAGATAGAGTAGAAATAGTGATCCGTATAGCAATAGATGATAGAGAAGAAATAGCGATCAGTATAGTAATAGAGTAGTAATAGCGATCGGTATAGCAACAGAGGATAGAGTAGAAATAGCGATCCGTATGGCAATAGACGATAGAGTAGAAATAGCGATCCGTATAGCAACAGAGGATAGAATAGAAATAGTGATCCGGATACCAACAGAGGATGGAGTAGAAATAGCGATCCGTATAGCAATAGAGGATAGAGTAGGAAGAGCGATGCGTATAGCAACAAAGGATATAGTAGAAATAGCAATCCGTATAGAAATAGAAGATAGAGTAGAAATAGCGATGCGTATAGCAACAGAGGATAGAGTAGAAATAGCGATCCGTATAGCAATAGAGTATAGAGTAGAAATAGCGATCCGTATAACAATAGAGTATAGAGTAGAAATAGCGATGCGTATAACAATAGAGGATAGAGTAGAAATAGCGATCCGTATAGGAATAGAGGATAGAGTAGAAATAGCGATCCGTATAGCAATAGAGGATAGAGTAGAAATAGCGATCCTATAGCAACAGAAGATAGAGTAGAAAAAGCGATGCGTATAGCAATAGAGGATAGATGAGAAAGAGCGATGCGTATAGAAATAGAGGATAGAGTAGAAATAGCGATCCGTATAGCAACAGAGGATAGAATAGAAATAGTGATCCGGATACCAACAGAGGATGGAGTAGAAATAGCGATCCCTATAGCAACAGAGGATAACGTAGAAATAGCGATCCGTATAGTAACAGAGGTTAGAGTAGAAATAGCGATCCGTATAGCAGGAGAGGATAGAGTAGAAATAGCGATCCGTATAGCAACAGAGGATAGAATAGAAATAGTGATCCGGATACCAACAGAGGATGGAGTAGAAATAGCGATCCCTATAGCAACAGAGGATAACGTAGAAATAGCGATCCGTATAGTAACAGAGGTTAGAGTAGAAATAGCGATCCGTATAGCTGGAGAGGATAGAGTAGAAATAGCGATCCGTATAGCAACAGAGGATAGAATAGAAATAGTGATCCGGATACCAACAGAGGATGGAGAAAATAGCGATCCCTATAGCAACAGAGGATAACGTAGAAATAGCGATCCGTATAGTAACAGAGGTTAGAGTAGAAATAGCGATCCGTATAGCTGGAGAGGATAGAGTAGAAATAGCGATGCGTATAGCAATAGAGGATAGAGTAGAAATAGCGATCCGTATAACAATAGAGTATAGAGTAGAAATAGCGATCCGTATAACAATAGAGTATAGAGTAGAAATAGCGATGCGTATAACAATAGAGGATAGAGTAGAAATAGCGATCCGTATAGGAATAGAGGATAGAGTAGAAATAGCGATCCGTATAACAATAGAGTATAGAGTAGAAATAGCGATGCGTATAAC